AATGCAAGTGAGTTGCCATCCATTACTCTGAGTAATTACTGTTTAAGATGCTACATTTTTTGGTACCATGATGAACAAATTGATTAGAGTATTGACGAACTTCAGCACGCTTCAGCATCACCTGGAGACCTGAAACAGATCACAGGCCTCACCTCCGCAGCTGTTGATTCAGTGAGCTGACAATCTGCATTTCTAGCAATTTCCAGGTAATTTGAATGGGAAATGATTAGAAATGGTAGCTTCAAAGGCCCTGCAGACCCACAGGAAGTGTCTTCTAGATCTTTATGTGATCAAATGCTCGGATGGTGTGGAGTATAAAGCCAAATTTTAGCAATCCAGTCCAGGGTTACAAAGTACCTAAGACAGTGCAGACAGAAGCAATCCAGCATTTTCTGAGACCATTTTGTTTTTAAATCTTTATTTTTATTTTATGTGTATGAGTGTTATGCCTGCTCGTATATCATCGTACCCATGTCATGCAAAGTCAGCAGAACCCAGAGGGTGTCGAATACCCTGGAAATGGAGTTACAGTTGTTAGCTGCCATGTCGGTATTGGGAATCGAACCCAGGTCCTCTGGAAGAGCAGCTACTGATTTCAGTCACTGAGCCATCTCTCCAGTCCTGATACCATCCATTTTAAACCCCCATATTATATCCACATCTATCTCTTGGTTGCTACAAAGCAAAGCCATTTGCTTGCTTTCACAGTCTGACTCTCTGCCAGTGTCTAATGGCAAGCAGATAGTTCTGGCTGCCTATGTGATGTTTTGATCTTTAGTTTTTTGGGACAGAATCTTTTGTAGCATAGGTTGGCCTCAAATCTGTTATCAGGTGAAGGTGACCTTGAGTTCCTGATCCTCCCAGGTACTGACATTACAGTCGTGTGCCACCACAGCAGGCTCCGTTTGATCTTAAAATCTCAACTGTCCTGATTGGTGGTGGCTCCATCAGCCAGTGTGGCCGAGATATTGAACATGGAATGTCTGATAATCATCCATGCTATTTATTGTAGTACTGGGTTTGGTCATGGGCTCTACCCTCACATATGGCTTCATCTTGTAGGCTCCAACCCTACAAGGGTTGCTTATCATTTAAGTCGTTATTGACCTGGCACATCCTTGGCACACCACAAGGCCCACACATCTGACTGGCATCCCTTTGGGTAGATTTTCCCATGCACAGCAGTTGCTCAGATTGGAGTGATCTGCTCTGACCTTCCCGGTGGTGGTTGTTTAAAGCCTGTCTGCAGAGTGCAGGGGAACAGGCTTCCTGCCAGGGGAAACCGGGACTGTACTTTACACCGTAATTGAGCAGACAGGATTTACCTCATCAGAGCACCTTGTCTGTCTGACTCCATTTCATATTAAAAACAGACTTGGAACTTCATTTTTTTTATAAAAAATTTATTGAGATGATGTAATTATAGGCTTTTCTTTAAAAATTATTTGCAACTCACTGGCCCTGAGAAAAGGCATTTTTTTTTTGTTTTTTCTTTTTTGTTACATTCATTTGATTCAGTCCCTTATAAACCCCACACCTCATAAACAAGAGATTAGAAACTAAACAACAACAATTCATTCTAGATTCATCTGGCTTGCAGGTGGGTGCAGTCGCAAAGAGAAATCTTCAAGAATGTTCACTTGTGAGTGTGAAAGATTCGGGGAGTTTGCAGTTGTTTAGTGTTGAGGCGGGTAGGCCAAAAGAGTATCAGGTGAGTCCTCCATGGCCTGACAGGCGGGGATTCCTGGGTGTCTGCTTCCCTGCCCCACTGGCTTCCTTTTGCCACTTGATTTATTCTGCTCAGGGGAGGAGAGGCTGAGTGAATTGAACAGCAGTTCTAACTAGCACCGAATGACTGGACAACAAAACCACCTTCTGTTCTTTGCAACTCTTTTTATCTTTTAGTTTCTTTGCTGGGAATGGGTCAGATGGGGGTCTGGTCAGGCTGAATCCCAATCCTGTCTGCACCCATGACAAGTGACACGACCTCTCTTGGGTTCCCTTCTACCAATAGCAGTGAATGTGTCAAAAACGTTTAGAGCTGGACCCTGGAAAAGGGCGTGTGAACACAGAGGTCCCTCAGTCATCCCTGACTCCTTTTATAGCCATCTCAGTATCAGCTAAAGCGACATTCGCATTTGGACAAGGTATAAGTGTAAAAAGCTGTTGAATCAGGGGGTTCTGCATTGTACTATGGAAAGGAGAAAACACATCAGCTTGTTTTGTTTTTTTCTTGTGAGGACCCCCCCACCTCCACCCCTCCTCCCCCCAAAAGATATGGAACATTAGTGATATAGCTGGGCAGAGTGGCACCCACCTTTAATCCCAGCACTTGGGAGGTAGAGGCAGATGGATTTCTGTGAGATGGTGGCCAGCCTGGTCTGCACAGTGAGTTCCAGGCTAGCTAGGGCTACAGAGAAACCTTGTCTCAAAAAAAGTGTCTCCAAAAGAAAGACTTTACACCTAGCCAGCTACCACTGTTTTCTTCTGATTGAGACTTGGAGACAGCCTGGCCATTAAGTGAAGAGAGAGGGCAGAGGATTCTAAGACCTAGGCGAGAGCCAAAAATTCCCACAATGGCCACAGACAAAGGCCACCTATTCAGATGACACGAACTTTTAGCTTGGTGTCCAGTGCGGTTTTCATCACCTCTTGTACTTAATGTTCAGCTGGGAAGATTCATGTGGGCTGGATCCTGTGGGCAGAATACAGACTCCCATAGTGTTGTTCCCTCAAGGTGTGGTCAACTGAATTGGAACCCTTAGCGTCTGCAGCATGATAACACTGTACCCCTGGTGACAGCACTGTCCCTGTCCTCTCCCAAATAAACGAAGACTTTTGCAGTTAAGAGAATCAACAGAAAATCACTATTGGTAATATCTGGATGGGAAATAATGATGGTTCTGGAATTAAGATCTCTACTTCAAGTGGCTGAAGCTGTCATACTAAGTCTTACATATTCTCAAGCTTTTAATACAGGAATCCTTAGGACAAAAGGGAATTTCCCTCCATAGCTCATCTAATCTCAGAGAAGGCCAACGTCACGTCCTGGCCTCTCATTGTCATGTTCATACAAAGGACCTCGGTCAAAAAAAAAAAAATCCATACTCTCTAGCCCTTTTACCCCATGGCTCATACAACATACCAAGTATTTGGTTTAATCTTCCCTTTGAGTTAACAGTACCAGTCACCTAAAAGGCTGAAAACAACATATCACCTGAACATGCTTTTAAGACACCTGCAGCATATGAATCTTATCACCACTCAGACCGAGACCAAATCCCTTGTCCAGAAGGTTACTGATCTCCTTGAAGGCAGATGGGGGGGAAAGGCATGTGGCAGTAGGAACAGACTGGCCACCTGTGTGTGTATCTGGTGGCTGGTAAGAGGCAGGGACAGAACAGAGCTGGTTAAGTACAGACATACCCAGCAGGCCTGGGAGACGCTTGCCCAAAGGTGTGAAGGTTCTTTTGTAAGGCAGGATGCATTGTCTGGGTTTAAAAACACCGTACTTCAAAGATTGGCTGTCTCAAATTATGTTGGGAGAGTCAATTTAGATGGCTAGAAAAGGAAAAAAAAAAAACCCTATAACAGTTGTCTAAAAATCTGTTATCAAAAGTCCTAAGGCGTAGCACTGTCCTTATTTTGGAAGATACTGTCGGCCTTATGTTGAGGTGAAAAAGTTACAATGGGTCCTTCCTGAAATACAGCAAAATGAATGTATCTAAGGAATTTCCTGTCTGCTCCATGCTGCGTCTGGAACTGTGCTCCAGGATCCTCCCTCTGCAAGTGTTCGATGTGGACCAGGAAATGAAAGAAGTTAGGAACTAGGGGGAGAAGGGGTGAAGAATTCAGTGGGAACGTGAAAGGGACGATGAGACGGCTTGGGAATGTGACCAACAGCTCTGTTCTCACTAGCCTCAACCTGTTCCAAAAAATCAAATCCCCACTGCAGAAGAGCTCTGCCCAGCTTCTGGACCATAAGGCCTGTGTGGTCTTTTCATGTCTGCAGCACTGGCCTGGTCCTGTCAGCCATCTGTGGGAGGGCTGGTTGGAGAAGCACTGCTCTTTCTAGACTCCCTCAGAAGGGTGGCCATGGGCAGGGATAGGGGCCAGACTGTGTGTTAGCCTCAGAGCAACTGGGTCACTGATGCATTTAGATGCCAGTGACTCCCAAGACGCTCCTGGGGGGATGAAGAGAGGAAAAAGGGAGAGAGAGAGAATGCTCTTTTTCCATGTGATCATTTTTTAAAAGCATCTTTTGTTTTTCAGGCAAGCCCCAACTGCAACAGGAACAAACCTGAACCATGTGGCAGGAAAGAGGAACTGTTCCCTTCTGCACAAATTCTCTTTCCTGACAGGCTGAGCTGACTGTACTTGGTGAGATTTGCAAAAAA